AATGGGGCCTTCATTGAGCCACTGTATTAGCCTAGAGATTTTCTGTTTTAAAAAATATATTTTATTGATTATGCTATTACAGTTGCTCGATTTCCCCCTTCATTCCCCTCCACCCTGTACACCCCCTCCCCCACCATTCCCCCCTTTAGTTTATGACCACATATCTCAAGTTCTTTAGATTCTATATTTCCCCTACTATTCTTGCCCTCCCCCTATCTATTTTCTATCTATAGTTTATGCTACTTAATTTCTGTACCTTCTCCCCCTTCTCCTTCTCCCACTCCCCTGTTGCTAACCCTCCATGTGATCTTCATTTCTATGGTTCTGCTCCTGATCTAGCTGTCCTTTTAGTTTGCTTTTGTTTTAGGTGGTGTTGTTAATAACTGTGAGTTTGCTGTCCTTTCACTGTTCATCTTTTTTATTTTCTTTTTCTAAGTCCCTTTAACACTTCATATAATAAGCACTTGGTGACAATGAACTCCTTGAACTTGATCTTATCTGAGAAGCACTTTATCTGTCCTTCCATTCTAAATGAAAGCTTTGCTGGATAGATCAATCTTGGATGTAGGTCTTTGGATTTCATGACTTGGAATACTTCTTTCCAGCCCCTTCTTGCCTGGAAGGTCTCTTTTGAGAAATCCGCTGACAGTGTGATGGGAACTCCTTTGTAGGTGACTGTCCCCTTATCTCTTGCTGCTTCTAGGATTTTCTCCATTTTAATCTTGGCTAATGTAATGATGATGCGTCTTGGTGTATTCCTCCTTGGGTCCAGCTTCTTTGGGACTCTCTGAGCTTCCTGGATTTCCTGGGAGTCTGTTTCCTTTGCCAGAATGGGAAATTCTCCTTTATTATTTGTTCAGGTAAGGTTTCCACTCTTGGCTGTTCCTCTTCCCCTTCTGATACCCCTATAATTCAGATGTTGGAACGATTAAAGATGTCCTGGAGTTTCCTTAGCCTCTCCTCATTTTCTTGAATTCTTGTTTCTTCATATGTTTCTGGTTGGTCATTTTTTTTCTTCCTCTGGTCCACTCCCTTAATTTGAGTCCCAGTTTCCTTTCCATCACTACTGGTTTCCTGTTCATTTCCCTTCACTTCAATTAGTTTAGCCTTCATATGTTCCTCTAATTTGTGACTAAAATCAACCAGTTCTGTGAGCATCCTGATCACCAGTGTTTTGAACTGTGCATCTGAAAGTTTGGCTATTTCTTTGTGGCTTAGATTTATCGGCCCCGGGGCTCTGAGTTGTTCTTGAGCCATGTTTTGATCTGTTCGTGTTGTTACGTATGAGGAGCAGAGCCTTAGGTGTTCACCAGGGTGGGGCCACTCTGGTGGCTGGGTTGTGATGCTGTATATTGGGGCAGGGTCAGAGAGGGAGCAATTGCAATCCCCTCTGCTCCTTCCCATCGCTGGAGCTGGCTCGGTCTGTCTCACTGCTGGCTCCTTCCCTGGTTTATCTGTGCGAAAATGTGTGAAGGCAGTCAGTCATCCACCTTGCATCTTCACTGGATCTACCCCTTGCTACCTCACACCTGGGATTCACCCTTGGCTGCCTGGGTTGGGGGATCTTTTTTGCCCGACCTGCTCTGCTGCTGGCTCCACCCCTCTTACCGGTCTAGCTGAGGAGTTTGTTGTTGTCGGACTCTGTATTGTTCAATTTTCCATGGTTTGGCTGTGTTTATTGTTGCTAAAACTTTATTATTTTTAGATTTGGTTGTGTGAGAAGGTAAAGTGTTTTCACCTATGCCTCCATCTTGGCAGAAGTCCCCAAAGCTTGCTATGTCTTAATCATTCATTTCTTCTCTGGCCTATTCAACATTCTGCCTTGTACATAATAAATAGGCTCTAAATAAATATTTATTAAATTTAATAGTTAAAAGAAGAATAGTTAAAAAAAAGAAAATAATTAGAATCTTAGCACTATTTATGCTTTCATTTATTTATGGCAATTTTCAATGAAAATATCACCAACAAATTACCTTATTTCCATCCCTCTAATAGATACATGAGATGTGGAAAAGAGTAACAGATGGGATTCCCAGTTTTTACTTTAAAACTAAAGATCCATGTAAAGTTTGCAAGCATCAGGTTCCTCTGGTGTTTTTATGCAGTAAAGAGAACTAGTTGGAACAGCAACACATTTGATTTATTTTCAGAAGAAAGCAAACTTCTCTCAGAGAAAGGTGTCAACATGATTTGGAATCGATAACAATCACTGAAGAGTCAAAGTTTGCTCTAGCATGTCTCTCATGAGGCCACTGGGGGGAAAAGTTTCACTAGGTCGTGGAGATACACTGCAAAAAACTTGGGAAAAGTTATCTTATTTGTTTGCATATTTTAGTGGATTGTAAGTGAAAAATGATATTGTCATTTCTGAGGTTTAGCTAAATTAATGTCTTGTATCCTATCACTTGCTCTACTATGTAGAGTTTGCAAATGAACTTTCACAAGTTGTGTTCCACATATGCTTCCATGCTTTTGATCATCTATGTAAAGTGACCGACCAGGAGTATGCTTCTGCACAGTATGTCCCTGAGTGACTGTACACATAAGTGGATTGTTTTGAATATCAAACTGAAGATTATTTTCTCTTGGGAGAGCAAGAAGAGAAGGTGACAGGTTATTAGACATATGGGAAAAAAGGGTAGATACAGGTCAAAGAAAAACTTTATCCAATTGCCTGATTAACTTCACACTTCTTTGAAGTAATAACCTCACATCAATGAAATTGTTTGATAATACACAAAAATCAGCCAGATAGGTACCCAGCAAAACTGAATTTATTGGGGAGCAACAGGAATTATAATCCAATACCTCCAACAATGATGAATCATGTGCACATCAGCTAAAACACGGAATAAGTTCCGTCATGGAGGGGAAAGGAAACTGAGAAGGGCTGTTATGCACACAGAGTTCTCGACTTGTGCTTTGAGACCAGCATCCAGTGTGAGAGCTCAGCTTTATATTCTTCCTACTTTTCTTAGAACCAGATTTCTGTTTACTCATTTTTTTAAATTAACCTCATTTCTTAACAATCCAAACAAAAGACCTACCTTTATGGTGTTATGGTGACTAAAATAAATGTACATTTTAATACAATTGTATAGAAAGCATTAACTATTATTTTGTATACCTTCGACAACATATTTCCTAGGTGATTTGTGTATATTATTTGTTTCTTAACAATGATCCTGTAAGGTCAGGATAATGAGGTGGAGGTGAAAATAATTTTACAGCATGTGTTAGTTCAAGGAACCAAACATGGTCCACCTTTGACTACAGTTTATACTGCCTCAGTAACATGACATTGATTTTCAAACAACATGCTTATATTTTACCTGAAATATGTATCTCAGTGTACATATTTCATGTTATCCTTTTATTACTTTACTATAGACTAACAAAATTCATCACAAATTGTTTCCCATTATTTCCAGGCATACACCTTAAACTAATGATACTGTTGAGTTAAACATATGTTAATGCAATTATTTTCATTACAAATTGCTTTTCTCTTTCTCCTATAGGAACCTGAGCACAATGATTAAATGATCTATACTACAAATTTTCTATCTATCTATCTATCATCTATCTATCAAGATGTGTCCATTTGTTTATCTATCTACATTCCTTATTACCTTTAGTGGAAATAATTATGTATAAAATTATTACAATAATTAATTAGCATAAAACTAGGTATTCTGATGCATTAAGGATGGCTAATACTAAAGTAATTATTTTGTATTATTTACTTTATGCTTAATAATGTGATCACTTTTATATATTAGCTTATTGAATTCCCCAACATACCCTTTAAAGTCAGAAGCATTTATTCAGAACTTAAATCAAAGGAAATGTGCACAGATTAATAGATTGAGGCTAAGGTCACACACAGTAAATGAGAGATGGGATGTGAACCTATAGATCAGTTTTCAAAAATGTATTCTAACCACTAGACTATAAATTTTAGTTGACTTTTTTCCTTCCTAAACTAACAAGTAATTTGATATGATACTCAACCTCATATCTACAACTAATGCATAATATTTTCTGCCTAGTCTAGCAAATAAATGTGTTGTAAGAATAAATGTGAGGTGGCTAACAATAAATACAATTATATTCTAGGTACAATATTGAATTCTTTTCCGATTGGAAAGTGAAATTTGGGGAACTGATGATTTTTTATGCCACACATGTACTCAGGGACATATCTGATTCTAAAGTCTATACCACTTCTTCGAGTACCTGTCGCCCAGTAAAATAAAGCCAGGTATTATGTAACATGAAATATAAATATGACATATCTTTAAAAGAATAAGAGAAAAAGGAAACTTACATTTTGTGAAAAATGATGAATTGCAGCTGTCGTAACCCATATAGCAGTTGTCAAATTTTTTTCTGTTAAGAGCTAGAATGTAAATATTTTAGGTCTTGTAGGCTGTAGTCTCTTTTGCAACTTCTCAGTTCTTCTGTTATAGTGCAAAAGCAGTCAAGATAATACAAAATGAGTGAGCATGATCTGTGTTCCAGTAAAACTTCCAGTAAAACTTATTTCACAAATACATGATGAGCCAGATTGGACCCAGGGCTGGTTTGCTGGGCTAAGTAAGTATCTCACATTTCAAGTCTGTGAAGAAAACAACATATGTTAAGAAAAACATCAGATAGAAAAGCATTTTCTTTTCCTGAAAATAATATTTTCTAAATAATAATACTAATAATAGTTAACATTTGCATAGCACCTTCTACTTGTCTTAAAAACTCATATAAATCTAGTAAGGTTTTTCTGAAGCAGGTGCATTTTATCAGTACAAAGTTAAGTGAAATTTCCAGAGATACACATCTAATCATCAGTGAAGCTAAAGTCTGAACCCAGTCACTGTGTCCCCTGGTTCTGTCATTTTAACTATTACACTCTCCACTACCTTTACTAGGTCTATTGACCTCTTACTTCAACAGGTAAGGTTGGTTAAACATTGATCTCAGCACCACAGACATTGTCCAAAGGAGAGCACCAATATAGTCCCCACTACCACAAATTATGCATTCAAGTTTCCCACATTTGGGGAAATCTCATGGGTGTGTACATCCAGAGTGCAACGGATAACTCTTGCCCTGGGAAGGCCACCTTTGTGATCATGGTATCTCCCCTGCCAAGTAAGTATCACATCTTTTTTTTATGGCAGCAAGTTTCAACTGGTGTGCTGCAAGAATTTTGAAACAACCAATACCTGAGTCTTTAGTCATAGGCACTGACCTCTTTTCCCTCATGGTCAAAAAAAAAAAAAGACAGCCAATGCAACAATAGCCATCAGGTGTGAATGAATCAAAGTTATAGGCAAATTTTTTGTGAGGTTGGCAAAAAATATATATTTTGTGTGTACAGCAGAATTTCAGTAACTAGTTTATAAGTGCTGTGAGAAGAAAATGGTTGAAAATCACTGCTTTATGGCATACTTTGCTTTAATGAAATAAAGAGTATTATATATATGAAAATGTTGTTTTCATAAGGAAGGATCAATAGTTAGTCAATAAAACTAAGTTTATTGACAAAAAGTCTTAATTTACATTGTAAACATTATAATGTGTAAAAGATACATAGCTTTAAATTATTAACTCTGAATTGTTAAGTTCAATCCTATAAATTGTTCGGCGTTTAGGTTTCATAGGTCAATACCTAGGTTGCACAGTGTTCGTTCTTTACTGTTCTATGTAATGGTGTAATCATGAATAAAATTTACCTGTAGGATAAAAATAATCATTTGATCCTTGTGAATATTTTTCCATCTTCAAATGAAGTTTAGTTTGTATCAGTTTATATACAAAATAAGACAAGTGAATATTATTATTATTAAGGTTGGTAACAAAAATTAGGTATTAAGAAGACATTTTATATGAAAAGTATTAAACTTAATATGCTTTTAATATTATAATTTGTATATTAATATATATTAAAACACCAAAAAAAGAAACTCAATTAAAATATGGGCAAAGGACCTGAATAGAGACTTCTCCAAAGAGGACATAGAGATGGCCAATAGACATATAAAAAGATGCTCAGTGTCATGAATAATCAGAGAAATTCAAATTAAAACCTCAATGAGATATTATCTCACCCCGGTCAGAATGGCTATCATCAACAAATCTACAAACAACATGTTGGTGAGAATGTGGAGAAGGAGGAACACTTTTGCACTGTTGGTGGGAATGCAGCCTGGTGTAGCCACTGTGGAAAGCAGTGTGGAGATACCTGGAAAAAGGGAAAATGGATCTGTCTTTTGACCCACCAATCCCACTTCTGGGATCTTATCCAAATAAACCCAAAACACTAAATCAAAAGAACACAAGCACCCATATATTCATTGCAGTGTTATTTACAATCACCAAGATATGGAAGTTGCCCATGTGTCCATCAGTAGATGAGCAGATAAAACAACTAGGGGACATTTACGCAACAATGGAATAGTACTCAGACATAAAGAGAAAGGAAACTTTTACCTTTTGTAGTAGTATGGGTGGACCTAGAGAACATTACACTAAGGGAAATAAGCCAGTCAGAGAAAGACAAATACCATATGGTTTTACTCATATGTGGAATCTAATGAACAAACTGAACTACCTAGGAAAATGGGAACAGACTAATAGATAGAGAGCAGGATGACAGCTAGTGAGAGGAAGATTGGAGGACGGAGTGATTGAGCAAAGAGGAAAAAGGACTCATGAACATGGACAACAGTGTGGTGATTGCTGAGGGGTGGGGGGTATGTGGAGACTAAATGGTAATGGAAAAATGCAATACCAATTACTATTTCAAAATTAAAAGGGAAAACATTTTCATCTGCAATTGGCATGGATTAACATGTTTTCTTTGCTAGATTCAAGAACAATTCAGTTTTTGTGAAGGTTTTTAGTAAGTCATGTCCAAATGTATAATTTATATTTTAAGAAGGCTACATAAAAATGTTTAATTTAATATCAACACATATTACATTTAATTGAAAGTCCTGTAAAATTGTAAGATATTCTAAAATATGTAGCCTTAGAAAACAATAATGCTTTATTTCAACTCGGATCATGAACTAGCAATAACTAAAATAAAAAAAGATTTTGAATTTCTACTTAATTTTATCAAATTAAGTGATGTAAAACCTTTAAAAACATTTTGTCACATTACTCAGTATTTTCTAAATACATGTTAATTATGCAATTATGTTAAAAATTCTCAACACATTATGCTGGAAAGGCTTGGGGGGAAATCCAATAACCTCTCCTCAGTTTAAATCACCATCAAGGGATCAGAAATGTGTGTGTCAGTGTGTTCCCCACTGTAGCCCAGGGGGACATAACACTTGCTCTGTGTGGGGAGGAAACAGCAGGACTTTTCAGGAGACAAAGGGAAAACTTGTGATCACAAAACAGAAAAGTATATTGCTGATAAGACACAAGTGTTAGAAGTTTTCTACAACCTCAAGCTGTGCTTCTCCCAACTAAAATCTCATTCTAATTTACACAAGGCAATTTTAGTTGCACAGTTAGAAAGAACTGTGAAAAATGAAATTGGTTGTTCTTTTACTAGGGATGATTCATTGCAAGCTTTTGAAATGCTTTTATCTTTTGAACTCTTAAAATAGCTGACTCTAGAATTGTCTTCTAAAATTATTTATTTTTAGAAAGGGTCAATTGTGTTTTCTAAAAATACATCTGGATGCATTGTCACTCTTCTTTATAATAAAAAATTCATAAAATTTATATACCTGGATGAAAGGAAGATTAACCCAGATGTGTGATTTTGCTTAAAACTTACAGCCTGAGCCTTGTTCTAATGAAATGCCACTATCACCTGCAGAAAGAAAGACAATTATCTTTTGTTTATTCTGGAAGTGGGGTATAAACAAGAGAGCTCATGAAGGAAGTAGAGTGTAAACAATATATTACATCCAAATCATCTCATGGCTTGGCTTATCATTTTTCTGTTGTTTCTTGGCCCAGAATAAATAGATTTGTCACACTGGCATGCAAAGAAAAGCAGATGTTCTCTTTCAAAGTCTATGATCTTTGTAACATTATGAATTTAAATTAAAAGGAATAAAAACATCGAATTAAACCAGTTGGGTTAAAATAACCCTATAGACTGCAATGTGGACTGTTTCTACATATTTATTATTTCCTGGAAGTGATTTATGATTGGCTACAGTAGACTGACATAGATTATCTGTGGCTCATCATAATTCCAGCTAGGCACATTCTTTCCCAAGGCCAAAGATCCCAGAGAAACCTTTTGTCTAGGTAGGTCAGAAAATTGAATCTTTTAGGTTTAAGTGAGTTCACAAGAGAAATCAGGGGGTGCTATTTGCTTATTCATTCTACTCAGAATAAGTTGTATTAATTGTATTTTTATTATTAGAGTTTCAATTGCACAGGATTTTTAAAGTGAAGTTCTGCACCCTTATGTACATTGTAGCATTTGAAAGCAGCTCAAGTGTACGTTAGTAGATGAGTGGATTAAAAAAAAAAGTGTGGTACATTTACACACTGAAATACTACTTGGCCATTAAAATAGAAGGAACTCTTACCCTTTGAGACAGCAGGATGGACCTGCAGAGTATTGTAATATTTTAAGTGAAATAAGCCAGTCAAGCACCATCTGATTTCATTCATATGTATAATTTAATTAACAAAATGAAGTAACAAGCAAAATTGAGACATACTGTTAGAGATCAGGCTGACTATTCTTGGGGGGAAACAATCTGGGGGGCTGGCTCAATGTAGAGAGATTGAATGAAAAATAATTTTAAGAACTCATGGACATGGACAACAACGTGGTGATAGCCAGAGGGGAAGAGGAGTGGAGGGAAGCGGAGGAGGGTACAGGGGGATAAATACTGATGGACAGAAACTTGGCTTGGCGTGGTGAGTACACAAGTAAATATTTCATGATGCAGTCTTTCCTATAAGTCAGCCCTTGATTCCAGCTCGGATCTTCTAACCTGGGTCTCAGGAATGGAAAGCACCTGGCCACCTATATGGCCACCAGCCCTACCAGGAACACACACCGGGACCAAGGAATAACAGTCAACACAGGTGGTTATGCCATTCATTCAGCTTTTATTAATGCAGATTCAATCCAAATTTATAATAACCTAGTAACAATAATAATCACTCAGAAACAACAATAACATCCCTTAAAAGAATTAGGGGATAACAAACCAAAGTCCCAAGAGTTCGAATCATGCCCACACAGCTAGGAGGCAACTGGTTAACACATCTTGCAAAGTCAAGGGGATGGGATGGAGGAGGAGTTCTTTCCCACAGCGCAGAGGGTGCAAAGTGCAGGACATCTCAAGGAGCCTCGTTCTCCCAATGCATCACTCATGGTCTGAAGTCCTTTGCTTTTGTGCCTATTTCATTACAAAGTCATGCTGTTTTTGCACAATTTCTCATACACATGTTATTTTTTCAGTTTCAGTAAATGCATGCTGTTTTCCTCAGCCCAGAAAGGCACGTGTTGTTTACATCAGCTTTTAAAGCCATGTGTTGTTTGCCTCAGCTCCGATAGGACCATGTTGTCTATGTTGCTCTCTGAGAGGGTGGTGCGCCCTTCAGATAGGCATGTGCTGTTTGACATACTGTACCGTGCTGTTAGGGGTGGTACCATCCCTCTGCATCATGAACCACCGTACATGCTCTAGACATGGCTTCCTGTCCTGTGATCCACAAGTGTACAGATGTGTTGTGGAATTGTGCACTTGAAACCTGTGTAGTTTTGTTAACCCTAATAAATTTAATTAAAAAAATAAAAGTTCTTGCTTTTCCTTGTAAACTCTTTTCCTCTGCTATTTCCATTATTAATTTTGCACATTTTGCATTTATTTAGATAATATTTTGGGGAGAATTTTTTCTGCCACCTGGCGATTTTGATATCTTAGCTCTAGACCTGACTACAGTTACATCTCTTTATATGTCTAAAAGACACTTCCTCAGTAACAGTCCAAAGATAAAAGAAGTTTGTCTTTTCTCTTTCTTCTTCTTTTCCTTATTCATTTTCCTCTCCCTTTCTCCTCGCATCTTGTTTTACTCCCTATGTTCCTCCCTCCTTCTGTCCTTCCTTTCATTCATCACTTTTAATTACTGAGGCCCATACTGCAAATACTTTGGTCAGAAAAAG